AGGCAACGAGTTCTGCTCGACCACCTTCGACCTTCTTCCTCTTCTCTTCATGGCACTGACTCTTCTTCTCTCTCCGTAAGCCTCTCTTTCTTCTTCTTACTCATTTGATTGAAATATTTTAAAGATTTGCTTTCAGTCGCTTTGAATAACGAACATCCGATCTCGATTGAACTCGAGCTCAATTCAATCTCTCGAAGGCTGAAAAGCAATTGCTTTCTCTCTTTTTTCGAGTCACTGGTTGTTTCAATTTTGTATATTTGGTCTCAATTCCTCATTTTTAATGAGATTTTTGTATTGGGTGTATTGGGTATATTGGGTATCAGGCATCGGCGTGTGTGGCTGGGGATAGCGCTGCATATGCAAGGACAAATATCTTTGGAGATGATGTGGTCATCGTAGCGTAAGTTGTTTCGTTTTGCAAATGATGCTCCTCAGTTCATTTCAATTTTGTGTATTTACATCAAGCCTTTGATATTTGTAAATTGTGCTTTTTATAGTAAGTTTGAGTTTTAAAATATATATATATAATTTTGGTGTCTTGCAGTGCTTATCGGACTCCAATTTGCAAGGCTAAACGTGGGGGCTTCAAAGATACTCATGCTGATGATCTTCTTGCACCTGTTTTGAAGGTTGGTTATACAAGTTTCGTAATTTTCGCTTTGCTTTGGTTCTAGTGAAGTTTGGTGGAAAGAATTCTAAAGCTTTTTTCTTTGTTTGTTTATATTCTATCTCATAAACTATTTATATCTTCAACTGATAAAAATAACTATTCGTTTCTCACTGAAACGATGATTGCCTTGCTATAGGCAGTTATAGAGAAATCCAATCTCAACCCAAGTGAGGTTGGGGATATTGTTGTGGGTACGGTGTTAGCTCCAGGATCTCAAAGAGCTAGTGAATGCAGGATGGCTGCCTTTTATGCTGGCTTCCCTGGTATGTACCCTTTTAGAAAATTTAATGATCCTTGAGAATGTCATGGTTTGTTATTCATCCACATGATGGCTGTAATGTGCAGAAACTGTGCCAATTAGAACTGTGAACAGACAATGTTCATCTGGGCTTCAGGCAGTTGCTGATGTAGCTGCATCTATAAGAGCAGGATTTTATGATATTGGTCAGTGTTTATCGATGGTTTTTTTATAAATTGTCTCAGAACTAGTTCACTTCAGACAAGTATCCTTAGCTTTAATTTCCCTTTTTCTCGGATTATTTCATACAGGAATTGGAGCTGGGTTGGAATCCATGACCGCAAATCCAATGGCATGGGAAGGATCAGTTAATCCTAAAGTATACATTCTTCTTGCACTTGTTTTTCTTTTAGAAACATATTTTCTTGCAGAAATGCTATTTTTGACAGGGTTCTAAGAGTCTACCGAAATTTGCACTGTGGTCAGGTGAAGATCTTTGAGCAGGCCCAGAATTGCCTTCTTCCTATGGGAGTCACCTCAGAAAATGTTGCGCATCGCTTTGGTGTTTCTAGGCAGGAGCAAGATCAAGCTGCTGTAAGTTGGATAAATCTTTCAGTCTGGTATTAAATTGTACTCTGGTTTGTCTATGTTAGTGATTTTGTTAATTATATGTTGTTAGGTCGACTCTCATAGGAAGGCAGCTGCTGCTACTGCCACTGGTAAATTTAAAGATGAAATCATCCCTGTGGCGACCAAGGTAATATAAAATTTGATTGCAGATTTGGCAGATAATGTTTGCATGCACGTGTGCAAGGGCATGCCTGATCTTTTATGTATTACTGATTTCATTGAATTAAAATAGATTGTTGACCCAAAATCTGGTGAGGAGAAACCTGTTACAATCTCTGTTGATGATGGGATTCGGAACACAACATTGGCAGACCTAGCAAAGTTGAAGCCTGTGTTTAAGAAAGATGGGAGCACCACTGCTGGTACGTTTTTACTGATGATGCATCATTTCCTTTTCTAAAATAAAGTATCGCATTATTGAATCCATTTCATTTCATATTTGGTGCACCCGTTTAGGTAACTCTAGTCAAGTTAGTGATGGTGCTGGAGCTGTTCTCTTGATGAAGAGAAGTATTGCTGAGCGAAAAGGATTGCCAATTCTTGGTGTATTCAGGTATGCAACTCCTTGATGTCCTGCATCTATTTGACAGGAGGGAGTTGATTTTGTCATGGGAGGCTACCCTTGGTTTTTCAACATGTATGCTCAGAAACTTGTCCATACCTCTGATGAACACCTTGGGGTTCATTTGTTTATTGCTATCAGCATGCTTTATAAACTTGCTTCCTAATATCTACTCCAAAGCTTTGAACCATGATGTTCAGACGATCAATTTTTCTTTGGTATACTAAATTACTTGGGTCTTTGTACTTGTGTAATAGAATAAGTTTCTTTCACTTTAAGCAAATCAAAAGGATCTATGGACCGAAAAAAGAAAGCCAATGATCAAAAGGATCGTAGCATTTCGGGGTTTCCCTGTTGACATTGGATCTACAATTCCTCTGTACTTACGACCTTGTAGTGTGGTATCATAGTTGGCAAAGAGAATGAAGTTTTCTCAATATTTTCCTCGATGTTATCATCTGTTTAATGTGTTGCCTCCCAGGGTAATCTGAAATATCTGACACAAGTGTTTGAATGTTATAAATATTGCCCTCTTCTTCATTGTGCAGGAGTTTCTCTGCTGTTGGTGTGGATCCAGCCATCATGGGTGTTGGTCCAGCTGTTGCAATTCCAGCTGCAGTCAAGGCTGCTGGTTTAGAGCTTGATGATATTGATCTTTTTGAGATAAATGAGGTATTAAATTGCAGTTAAGTTTCTACATATGATTTTAGGCCCTGTGAATATAAAATGACATAGAAAATGCTCAACTGTGCAGGCTTTTGCATCCCAATATGTATATTGCCGTAACAAGTTGGGACTTGATCCAGAAAAGATCAATGTGAATGGAGGTGCACTTGCCATTGGACATCCACTTGGTGCAACAGGTATTATATTTTCTACTTAGCATTGACTGTACTACTCCGTTTTTTTGGTGTGTATTGAAACCTCATTTGATTGTTGCAGGTGCGCGTGCGGTTGCCACTTTATTGCATGAGATGAAGCGTCGTGGGAAGGACTGCCGCTTTGGAGTGATCTCTATGTGCATAGGTAAACCTTGATTCCCCCCTCTTGTGTGCACACAAACATTGATACTGTCCATTGAAAATGTTGGTAATGGATCTTATATGGAAAATGCAGGCACAGGGATGGGGGCAGCAGCTGTTTTCGAAACGGGGGACAGCACTGACGAGCTCTGCAATGCTCGGAAAGTCGAATCCCTCGATCATTTATCCAAGGATGCTAGGTAGAAGGACTTGCCCATTGCATTCGTATCAATAATGTATGATTGAGAGTCCTGAGACTGAAAATCATAGTGAAGCGATGCGATAAGATTGCTTCATCTCTCTACATTGGGGAGTTGAATCCCCAGATCCTTGTTCATCCTTGAAATTCCTCTCAATAATATTTTGGTTAATCGAAAATCATAGCATGTATTTGGTGATCAGCAGTTTTGATCTCCAATGTTTGTATACCAGAATTATATTATACAATCCATTACACATAAATATTTAGTTGAACAGTACTTTTTTCGTTTGCCTGCACGAGATAACAGACACAAAGCAGTTACTTGTATGTCTTAGTTATCAATTCTGGACCATATTTTCATTTTGATGCCTCCAACACCTCTTCACGTGCTATTGCTAATTTGCTATCTTCGTTCATTCTATTCTAACCATCCATTTACTTTTCCATAGCTCTCCCCTAGAGTATTCTTAAATAAATAAAGAATTTGTTCTCCTCGTCTCTGTCTTTTTATGTTAACGCACTAACACACACTTACTCTAGCGGTATTCTCTTTCCAATATTAAAACAGCAAAAATTCCGAATTCGAGTACACTGCCCGGTTACTAGTAGTAAGTAATGAAAACTATGATGATGGCAACATGAGCATAATTGTCACCTGCCTGGTAATCTGAAATGAATTCTCCTTTCTATACTGCAGCCATGAGTTTTTGAAAGCTGATAATCTAAAATCATTTTCAATATTACCTAAATTTGCTATAGTAAATGACTGGTAACTTCTCTTCTCTATGGTGACTCATCTTATTCATTTTCTTGTTTGCGGCTTTCCATTAAAAATTACTTATTAAGGCCTGGCCACTCGCTTATTTGCCTTTGACATGACGTATTAGAGTATGAATGATTTTAAAATGATCCTTGTTTGCGGCTTTCCATAGAAAATTACTTATTAAGGCCTGGCCACTCGCTTATTTGCCTTTGACATGACGTATTAGAGTATGAATGATTTTAAAATGATCCATTAAGGGACCAATCAGATGATTTTAAAGTAATGGTTGTGTGGGATTTCAATCATATCTACAGTCATTCTATATCGATAGAAGCCTCCAATTCATCAAAAATATTCTGCTGAACAAACAAGCATCAATACATGAACAAGTAACTTATTCTCAGCAATTAAACTATTATTCTTTTTTTGTTTTGCCACTTTACTCTAATCTAATTAGTACAAAGTTTAACTTAATATTGATTATAATTTTAGATTATCGGGATCATGAAGAGAGAGAAGAAACCTAGATTTCTTAACGGGAGTAGATTTTCTGACTGATATCCATGAGGTCTAAGTTAATGCATGGAAGGCTTGCACACAAAACTGCTTTAAAGTTAATGCATTTGAGGCAAAACATTGGTTTCCTGCACAAAGACCCCAATTTGGTGGGAGCTGTAAAAGGTGCAGATAAACCCTAGGAATACCACAGATGCAATTGACGATTTCACATGACAAGTTCATGTGTATTTTTAAAAATCCATTCATTGACTGGTAGTAATATGACACTACCCAACCTTCACCTGTGCAGGGCATCCCAAGAACCACAAGTCGAGTGCGTATCTAGCCAGTAATGAAAGCCTGCAGCCTTTATTCTATGCCGAACATGAAACCACAAAAAATTAACTAAACAAGATAGACAGGTAAACTTGAGCTCTCTTATATGAAAATCTAATTATGCACATTGTTTCCACTTCAACAAATTCTTAATTTCTGCTACCACAACTTCAATGAGAAAACCGAAAATTGAATCACGGATTGCCATGATTCCAAAAGGATACTGCTTGCAGTATTAAGACACTCTTTTCAGAAGATGGCCTGGGCAGTGAATCACAGCGCAAACTATGTGATCGAACACTTACAAATTGGGCATGAAGTTCTTCTACCGAGCCATGGATCGATGCACTGAAAATGAAATGGGAGAAAGAGACAGGGAGAGGGAGGGGGAACCAACAAAAACAAAAGAGTAAGACATTTGATGGCTTCATTTGCAAGGAAAAAGCTAACCACACAAGAATGGGAGTCCCTACATCTTTGTGAAATCTGTGCAAGCAAGGAAGATGGCGAACTGTTTCTCCAATTGTGGGAGTTTCAAGACAAATTGCACAGGCTTCTTCTGAGGCATCACTCTGCAAACAAAGCAACCGAAAACAAAATTTTATAGCAGGTAAATAAGCGGATCTGATGGCTGGGTAAATGCCCCACCACAAGAAGCACAAAAGCAAACAGGTTATAGTCTTTATATTTGTTCAACTTCTACTTTACCTACCTGTACTGTAGATTGTGGCAAATTATTAATTTGATGAACTGTTGCACCAGCATGCTGATGATTATTATCATCGAGTGCCAACAACATCTCATAATCATTGCTGCAAGACATGAAGAGGCAAAGGGTAAGATGAATCTGAATTGAGATTTTGCAGTAAAAAAAAAAAAAAGAATAATATGCTTCGAGTGTGCAACCAAACCCACAATATAATTAATCATGCCAGTCGCTCTTAATGAATGTATGAAGCCATTGGATAAATCAAGTATCATTTTTTCCTCTAACAAGATACAGGCCCCAGATGAGAATAAGCAAGGCCATGAACTGATAAATAGACTAAAATCTTACTCATTAAAATCCCTCTGAACTCGAAGCATGCGATTATCCAGTCCCACCTCACCAAGGTCATCAAATGCTGCCTCTATAGCTTCTAATATATTAAGTCTCTGCATCAGAAAGCAGAAATTAGAATTATAACGAAAAAACTAGGGGAAACTTAGTCTTGACTGCAACTTGACAGAGAGGTAATCTTTGATTAAATATTCAACTATATCTGGATGTTAAAGTAGAATTCTAAATTCGCATATTGCCCCCTCTGAACTATGGAATAAGTTCTAATGTCTTTCTTGAACTTTTGATTCTCATTTAGTAAAAAGTATAAGGATGAGATTACACAAATAAATTGAATAATAATCTAATTCATCTTTGGTGTCACAACAATGAATGGACTAGCAATCTTAGACAAGAATTTGGTCCAGGATAAGTGAGGATAATAGGAATACACGCAGGGGCGGCTGATGTAGGACTGAAAAAATTCCTCCCTCTTCCTTTTCATCCCATATGCAATAAAGTTTGTTTCCTTCCAAAAAACATTTGTCAAATAAGTGACTTATACACAGACACCATCCAAGGTTCATGGAATTTTGTACACTTGCAAATAATAGAAATAAAAACAACCAAATGGCTTCCCTCCCTTAATTGTTTATCTCCCTTATCTTTCTTATCTCCCTCTCTCTTTAATTTTTTTATTTAAAAAAACAACCAAAAAACCTTTATCAAACAGGCTCAAAGAAATAAAAGGGCGAGATACCATGTCTAGATCCATGTCCAAAGGAAATCGCATATTTCTTCCTCTAGTTGATACTCTAGGAGACTGGTTGCGAAAGCGAGTCCTTAACTGTGCCATTCTAGACGAGGTAGCAACTCGAGCCTGGGTTCCTCTCCTATTGGAATGGTTTTGAAAAGACTCTGGCCGCGATTGTCTATTCGAATGCAAGATTGTTGAGCCTCTCTACAAAACATAAGAAACAAAATAAGAATACACAATACTGCTAACAAACAACAAAAATCATACTCATTATATAGAGAAACAAGTGTCCATTTGCCAAGAAACAAAATCATTGATTTTGACAAAAATTAATCTAACATCAATAAAGATCATGAGCATCAAAATATACATCTTCCTCGACCATGAGCATCAAAATATACAGCACACAGAATAACAATGCATTTAGTTTTATTTAATCATTGAGATCTCCCTAATATGGCATTCATGACACTTATCATCTTAAACAGACCTTCTAATTCTTCTGCAATATCTACAAAAGTTGGCTTCTGGAACTAATGTCTGAGAAACACACACAAAGATGGGGTTTATACTATGAAAGCTGTTAATAGGAGATGCATGCGTGATTCCAAATTGAAGGTGTCTCAGTGTTGGCATGTCATCTGAAGACTCTTGAGAAACATTACAAAGCATATGTGGAGGGAGACAGATTTTTATTATATACTCGTAAAAGGATCCTAATATATGACAATATTTTGAGCCCAGGGAGAAATATGGTTAATTAATGCGACATGTTTAAAGGTTAGGAAAAATTTGTTGCTCATCTTTGTATCACTGTCTAAAAATACAATTCCTATAATGTAAAAAATCTTAATTGTCCTTTGCACAGGGTTACATGGGTCCCAAATGGGCACTTCATGCACAAATTCATGAACGGTTGAGATTGGTGAGTTTAGTAGGTGATACCAAATTCAACCTGGAATACAATAATGAGATAGCATGGAAAATTTGTGCAAAACTATGATTCACCAGTTTGGAAGATACTCATTTTATGATTTATTCGGTGCTTACGGTTAGAGAGAAATATTAGGCTTTAAAGGAGTAAAAGACACTATAAAGATGGCAACCAGTTTGAATTGACGATTCAACTGTAAAGATGGCTTTTTGAGTAAAATATATGGTCCTAACTGACTTGAACTGACTGGTTTGACAACAAGACTTTCATTCTAGGGCAAAAGCTATTTCCTATTTCTGGATAAAGGCAAGTCACTTAAAAAGCCGAAATCAAGCTACAGCTCATGGTATATAATAGAAACCAATCTCTATAATCATCCATACTTCCCCAGTAAAAAGTCCACAAGCCGAACCAAAAGGAAAAAGAAAATATCATGGAATAGAAAAGATACACCATTTTATTTTTTTCAATTCTAGGAACAGAGGCCTGAGCCTCTGGCACAGCAGGATAATGAGCCATTCATGTCTCTGTGATAGGGTATCTCGTGTTCCATGACCATGTGCATCAAAATATTTAGAAATAATTATGTGAAAGTCACCAAAAGTGCATTTTTAATTTGCAAATCATGTTATCAACAGTTACAGAGAATAAAGAGGCCCACTCACACGATGTGATAAATTGTGACTTCCTCTGGAAGTATTTGAAGCATTCTCCTCCTGCTGCAGTGCCCACGCCAGATGTTCATCAATCTGCTACAATGAGAAACAGATGTAAAACACCCAGTCAAGGAGAAGCATACAAATGTCCACTTGCACACATAAAGATCCTCTTTCTAAAGAGATTCTAATCGGAACTATTATATGTCCAAGGTTCCGGGTACATCCTTAACCCTTCCCCCTCTTATCAATACTACAGAATGTTCTTGTAAACCATGGCCAATACTATATAGAAAAATATGCACACACAAATACAACACGGTTGCCTAAAATGCACTAACCTCGCCACCTCCACTGATAGGCACCTCATGATATAATTGCTCCTGGAGTTCACGAGCCAATATCTCATCTGCTTCTAGTTGTCTTGCCCTAGCATTGGAATCATCATTCACGGAATCAATGCCTTGGTGCACAGAGTGCCCTGCAGCAGGTGATAAGTCATCAACCTCAATAACTCGACTTGACATTCCCTGAAATTGAGGTCTCTGGATCCTAGATGATTTTGAATTTTCAGATGAACCAAGAAAAAGAATATCTGAGTCCCCAGACACCGATGTAGAGCATTCAGCATGATTTCCCAAACTTAATCCCTGTTTCCTCTGCCTTTTAGTAACTGTCTTTGCTGCATGACATGACCCAGGTATCCGGTCCAGCTCAGACACAAGTCCTGAAGCTTTTTGAGTTGCATTCAGTTCTTCTGCCACATCATCTTCAGTCCTTCGATTTCCTCGACTCCTGGTATCTCTCCTCTCTACTCTGTTTTGATGTTGATTGACAAAGTTCCCAACACCATTAGTTCTCCTGGGAAGAGGCTCAGTGGAATCAGGCAAGAAATAATCTATTTGACTTGAACGATTATGTGTACTTCTCCAACCACCTAGTCCTTCAGAGCGTCCAGAAATATTGCTACTGGCATCCCATATTCCATTAGCTTCTTTATTATTATTCACAAGACCGCTGCAAAAAACATACCATGTCATAAGGTCAAGATAATGGTTATTAAAACGGACAATAGACATAAGCTAATCAATAAACACCGTTGGAAACAACAATCAAGCAGAAAAAAAAAACAAAAAAAAGAAAAAAGAAATTCTTCATGCTGTCAGATGGTGACACATCTTGTTATTTTTGTCAAAGACTTCATCCGGTTTATAAGATGAAAGCCCAAAAATCTTGAAGAGAGAAAAATATCATATCATGCGGTTTGTCACATCAGGAAATTTTAGAAATATAATATATATATATACACACATATATACATTAAAAGCCATGGAGAAGTTATTAAATTTCAAACGTGAGTGCAATTTTTATACAACCAAACCATAACACTCCAGTACCCATTTATCACAACCCTGTGTTACTCGTTTCTCAACCTTATAAGAGAAGGTGGAAATATATTAATTTCAACGTTCCCGAATAGATTGTGAAAAAGTGCTTGCAAGGACACAAACCCCGTAGTTAGGAGAAAAAAACTACAGGACACCATCATTTCAACCGTAACTTCTTCCTCTCAGGCCAGGGGGGAGGGCACTTAGGTGCTCTCACCAATACCAATGAAATAAAAGGCTAAGGTTATGAAGATCTCATAAACAAACCCCTCGTCATATCACTCTTATATAAGTAAACCAAAATGAAACGAAATTTGCAAACCAACAGTCAGCAACCCTCTAAATTCTTCAACCTTCTTGAAACCAGATATTGAAATGTAATTCTAACTTACTCATTAAGAAAAGACATAACTAAAACATATATTTAAGAGCATCTAACCAAGAAAATACCATATTGAACAAATTACCTGCCTGATGTACGAATAATTCTTGCATTATTCGCCTTAGGTGTAGGAGAATGAATTATTACACCTTTCCCTTTCCCTTTCAGTCTTCCACTATTATTGCCTTCAGTAACTATGTCATTTATGTCTATGACATATGGTGAACCATTGGAATCTGCATTCCCTGTGTGACTTTGTTCAATATCCTTGGAACTATTGCTACGCTGTTCAGCTAACTGTTTAGTCCTTGTTGCTATATTATGGGGGGAAATACACCCATTTCGTACCAACCTTTTTTGGCCGCTGACTCTTGGCTGGATAACAGAATGAAGAGGAACGGGCATTTGTTGCCCCATTTTATGTTCAGGATCAATGGACAGACCAACCCCCTTGTCAAGAGCCACAGCTAACCCAAAACCCTTTGTACTATCATCTATTTTTTCTTTCCCCTTGGGAGCATTTCTGGATCTCTCCGCATGACTTGAAATGCAATCTACAGAAGAACTGCCAATTGACGCAACTTGCCCTTTTCTTGTGTCTTCAGCAACATGATCTTCCAATTCAACATGTGGAAAAACCTTTTTCGTTAATTGGGTGTAACCATTGTGTTTGGTTAAATCAAAAAATTTAGTGTTTTCATGGCAAGCAGATGATTTAGAAGGAACTTTGATGGTCATAGCCTTTCCTTCGTCCATATTTTCAATTCCAGTAGAATATTTGGCTTCATGACTGGAGCTTTTGCCCACTGTTGCTCTCCGAAAGATGTGAGCATTATGGGAAGCAGATGAATTATCAACATTTGAGTTGCTGCAACTCTTAATATCGAGATTGCTAAGATTTCTCGGAGGATGTCTAACAATTCTTCTATTATGCCCATTTTCACTGACGAACCTTCCTCTGACCTTCAGTCCATTCACATAGTTTTCATCCACAACATCTGGATTACTCAAGTCACAAGCTAATGGTGAATTACAGACTTTACCAACAGATTCCCTGCCACTAATGTGTCTGGAAGCTAATCTATCAGGCGTGTCAGGTACATCCACTACCTGATCAATGTCCATGTCCTCCATAATCTGCATTAATTTCATAAAAGAGTACAAAACTAAATCATTCAGCACCAGCTACTCACATTTAGTCAATATATAATAAAAAACACCCTCAATAATAAGAAAATTCTAGCTATGACAAAAATTTGTTGCAAAAACGCAAGTTTGTAGCTTATATACATAATAGGAAGTACGCATAAATAAAAATGTTACTAAAAGCAATAGAAAATAAAGGTTTCAGTTGATACCACTTGCTTGCAGATACTCATCTGTGAGCAAAACATGATTTGAGCACCTACTAAAGCATAAGTCAAAAATATCTCTCTCTTTTTCATTTTCTTTTTTATAACTATTACTGAATGGAGAACTGCCATTTTTATGCCAAATTTAGCAACATGGTGTGGACTCTTGTCTCTGTATAAAGTACACTACAAGATCCAGAAGTGAATAATGGACACATTATTGGAGGGAGTTGTTTGAAAGGACTCAGAGAACTGATACCAAAATTGTAAGAGAAGTGACACATGGTATAAAAATACTGAAGAAGGAAATGAAAAGAAGACATCAAGAGGTAATAGACATAGAACAACATGGGCACAGAAGATTGTGTGACAGAATTGACAGGTATCAAAGATGGAAACAGAAACTACATACTCCTGTTAACAGAGGACCATACGAAGTTTGAAAATTGCTCACCTTCCTTTTCCATGCGAATGGAAGGGTCGGTTGTTGAATACAAATTGTCCAACGTGAGGGCACCCCTGTATTGGGGGCAGGCCCCAGTGAACTTTATGGTTCAGATTTAAAAGGCCCCTTCCATTTGGTACTGCAAATGGAGAGGAGCTGAAGATCCATTAAATTCAATTTCTTTGTAAAAATTGGGAGAGGGCACTCTGAAGTATGAACTTGAAAATTCAAAGGGGTTCAATCAAAGTTAATTTCTTTTCACAAGGAAATTAAGAATAATTCAGTGACCCAGCTTGAAATATTACATGGTCATCATCAGTCCGACCTTCCCAAGGAATGGGGTTTAATAAATAGGAGAGTTCTACCTCCCAGATCCTACAAGCCCAAATGGTCTGGCGTGAACCCCCAAAAAAGATATTGAATTCCATTAAAGATCTCAAGGAGTGATCAGATACAACATGTATAAGGAATAACTATATTTCTTATCTTGTATTAAATAAAGGATCCAAGAGAAAAAAATCTACTTTCTCCATGGAAATACTTAATTCATGGTAATACCAGTTTCACTGCTGCCCAATTAAAGAAATCATCAAGAGGCAACACTCAAAATTCAACCTTTATGTTAAAGATAAAGTGATGTGCATTCCACCACATATAATTCATTCCTAAATAACAAAATTCAGAACAGATGATAATGAATATCAAAATAACTGGCATATATATATATATATATATATTTCATGACACTAGAAATTACAAATTATAAACAAGTTTGATACATAAACAGAGATTAATGCAGATAAAATAAATAAATTTTATAAAATTAATCTATAAACATTGAACATTCAGAAGTAAAAATTGATATACGCTTCCATTATCGCCAGTCACCCAAAAAAACCAAAAAACAAGGACCTTCGTAGAAAACTTAGAATTAAACAATTACAATAAAACACATAATACCAAATTTAACGACAAGGTTTAAAAATTTTATTGAAAAAAAGTGCAATCAGATGGCAAAGAACCTCGATGGGAATGTATGAGAAAGAAGGAATGAATCAGAAGGAAAGAAACGTAAAATTCTGAATTTCAAAGCAAAACTTAAACCGAAACAATTATAATTTTAAAAAAAATAAATAAAAGAAAATGAAGAAAATAACCTGACGTTATCGTTATCCTTCTAGTTGTGGTGGATTCAAATCTAAAAGAGAAAGCCCCAGAATTTGAAGAGAAGGAAGAGGAAGATGATCTCAGGAACTCGTCTCCAAATCCGTTTCTGTTGAAAGATGAACCCACCACCCATCAACCCCTCTTCCCTCAGTGGCGGAAATGGGTCGGGTCAGTTTTAGGGTTTTCTTTCTCATAATTTGTGGGTCGAGCTGCCGGACCTTTTGAGAAGCTGAGGCCCACTCTAATCAGCCCCCAACGTCCAACCCATGAAAAAAGAAAATTATAAGAAAAGGAAAAGAGAGACTTCAATTTCTTTGGGTCACCAACAGGAGTTGGTCCAAGTGGAAGGGGCTTGGATCCTTTAAACAAGAGGTCCTGGGTTCGATCCCAGGCGCTTGTGAATAGAGCAGACTTTGTTGGGAGAGGTCCCCGCTTTGCGCCCGACAATACCTCGAGGGTTAGTCCCCGCAATCGCGCGGGGATACCTTGGTTTTCAACAAAAAAAAAAAGAATCTCTGTACTCTGTACCCTCATAAGATAAGACACTCCCATGTGTTGATGTTACATCGTTGGACAACAATTATAATTTCTCAGGTTAATCATTTTATTAGTCCCTTAACTTAGACTCGATTTGCATTTGAGTCTCTCAATTTCCAAAATCGTTCCCGTGATCTTTCAACTTTAGTTTCATTAGGACAAATGGTCCTACCGTCAATTTTGTTAACTTTTCTGTTAAATGCAAAGGCAAAATGGTTTTTTTATATATTAAATTAATTAAAATATGAATAAAAAATTAAAATTAAACTCCCTCTCCCTCCCCCACTCTATCCCGATTTCTACTCCCCCCAAACTTTATTGTTTTTATTTTTTTATTGGTTTTTTATTTAATTTTCTTTTATTGTTATTTTAAAGATATGATTTTTTTTAATTTATTTTTTTGGTTTTAATATAAAAATACCATTTTGCCCCTGCATTTAACAGAAAAAATTAACAAAATTGACGGCAGGACCATTTGTCCTAACGAAAGTGAAGTTAAAGGACCACGAGAACGATTTTGGAAATTAAGGGACTCAAATGCATATCGGGTCTAAGTTCAAGGACTAATAAAACGATTAACCCTAATTTCTCGGATAGTTTCAACTCAACTGTTTCAAGTCCTAGTGTTGTTATAAAAAAATGGTGATGTTAAACGAACTCTAAAATTAACTGAGCACACTCTACTATCAAATTATTTATTGAATTACTAATTTACCCTAATATAAAATGACCAAAAAGAATACATTGAATTGTGAAACAAATGTAATTTTAATAAGTACAACCTACTCACTATATTCAACCAAGCAAAAACCCTACAAAGATAGCAAATTAGCAATAACAATGGATGGTTAGTATAATGCGAAGAGGTGTTGGAGGCATCAAAAGGAAAATATGGTCTAGAATTGATAACTAAGTGTTCGTCAAGTTTTGAATACTGCGATGCCCCTAGCCACTAGCAGGCTATACATTGGCAACTAGCGATCGGTTGTTGGTGAAGGAAGTGAAGTAAGAGATATCTGAGCCCTAAAGTGGGCTCGAAAGCTGCTCTTTGGTGAATTGCGATAAGTGTGCCACTACTAGTGATACTCTTATAGTAGAAAGAGGGGGTGAGGTGAAGAATAAGCTTGTTAAAGTGTTGCGCCCTTATATTCTTATCTTCTAATCAAAGCCATTGTGCTCTAAATAGGGGGATCTTGCTTTAGATAGGTTCTTTTCTATGCCTCAATGAAGAGGACTTCAATATTTCACATATTATGGAATAAAACGCAAGATGGATGATGATTTTTAGACTATCATCAAATAGAAAGTACAACAACGAGCCTTACAGGAAAGGTATCAAATGGATAGCATAATACCATAAAGTAATTATATACCCAACAAAGGCCTAACAATAGATGCAAATAAAAGTAAAGTTGGGTCCAACAAAACTACAAAAGCCTTATCGAACATAAACAAATTCTATCGGACAGAATCGCAATCTACTTGACACAGTGCAGAAGGTATGTCCGATGAGAGTTTCTCATATATATATCTGCAATCAGAACTTGTCCGAACTATAGATAGGAGTTTTGATTTAAATGAGTTGGAAATCGAGACCAACTATCAAATCATACCAAGCTGTGTTGGCAGAGCATATAGATTACAAACAATAGCAATGCAATCCTAATTAGGAGTTGTCAACTAAGAATTGGGCAGAGTATGTGTTTGAGAAAAGAATAGAATTCCAATCAAGAGTTGTCGGAAACTCAAAGAAAAGAAGAGGATTCGATTCAAGACTTGGCTTTGGTCTGTAGTGAGACGCTTTGCAAGAATTTGAGTCTAGGTTTCTTTGAGATTGTCGAGAGTAGGTGTATTTTGAAGGCTGTTCAAAATAGGTTTGATTGATTCGCTATTGGATCCCTGATTCTGAGCTTTATTCCTCCATTTATAGGCTTTAAGGTATTTTCAAAAGAAAAAAAAAAGGCTGCTTCATGGGCGTCTCTGCTTCAAACCACAAAGAAATCACAAGATAATGCACGCATGCCTTTCAAGTTGATATGTGGGGGTGCTTTCCAGTTTCGAACTTTAGGACTACTCTGCAGGAGGTGAGCGCAACTGGTCAGCTCTGGGTTTTTTTTTCCATTCTTTACCTGTTAGGGACTAAATATTCTTTGTCAAAGCAGATTTCTTTATTGTTTTGTTGGGGCAGATCAGTGCGTACTACTTGTACAAGCATAGTGGTTTGAATTGTTTTCAACCTAAAGCTCAAACTGCTATCCAATTAGCTCATACTGATTGTTAAATGAATTGTAATTAAAAACCACTTAGATTGGTTATTAATACACTTGATTGGTTTTTACTATAGCCTCAGACATTTTCTGTTAGCAATGGAATTGCAGCATCGGACATCTTTTATGTTCGAACTGGGACGGTAGCTTCGGACACTTGTCGTTTTCTAATTTCTTTATTTATTTAAAATCTACGAAGTATATATAATGCAACTAAAAGGGTCCCTTTTTCTTAATTTTTTAAAATAGTACAGCCGAGAGGCTACACTCAGGTTTTTTTCCTAATTTTTTAAAAGAAATAGTATAGCCGCTCGGCTATACTCGGTTTTTCTAATTATTTTTTTTTAAAGAAATAGTATAGCCGACCGGCTATACTCGGTTTTTCATAATTTTTTATAAAAGAAATAGTATAGCGAAACGGCTATACTCTATTCTCCCTAATTTTATTTAAACGAAATAGTATAGCCTAACGGCTATACTCTGTTTTTCTTAAATTTTTAAAAGAATCTATACTCGGATTTCCTAATTGTTTAAAAAGAAATAGTTTAGCCGCCCGGCTATACTCGGTTTTCCTTAATTGTTTTTTAAAGAAATAGTATAGGCGCACGGCTATACGCTGTTTTCCCAATGTTTTAAAAAGTAAACATACAATACTCGTATTGAACATGTACGTATGTATTTTTCATATTTAATAAACATATTTGTGACAAAATTTTCAAAAATACACGCAAAATTCACGTATTATACATATATTATTGAATAAAAATAATATATATTAAAATATTATAAAGTGGCCGAACTTTTGAGTTGTAATTTGCTAAAATTTTGCCGAATCCGAATAAAATATGTACATATTTTATTCGTATAACTACGCAACTATGCCAATTTAATATCAATGAAGTATAAATAATGCAATTAGGAGGGTCCTTTTTTCTTAATTTTGTTTTAATTAAATAGTACAACCGGGATGCTATACTCTGGTTTTTTCCTAATTTTTTAAAAGAAATAGTATAGTCGTCCAGCTATAATCGAATTCCTTTTTTTTTTTTTTTTAAGAAATAGTATAGCCAGGCAGAGATACCCCATTTTTCTTAATTTTTTTTTAAAAGAAATAGTATAGCCGCACGAAGAAACCCCATTTTCCGTAATTTTGTTTTAAAAATAAATAGTATGGCCGATCGGCTATACTCTGTTTTCCTGAATTTTTTAAAAAGTAAACGTACAATACATGTATGTACATATTTTTCATTGATTAATACACATTTTTGACAAAACTTTAAATAATACACCCAAAATTCACGTGTTATAGATATATTATTGAATACAAATAATATATATTAAAATATTATATTGTGGCCAAACTTTTAAGCTGTAATTTGCAACAATTTTGCTGAATCAAATACGTACATATTTTATTGGTATAGCCGCACAGCTATACCAATTTAAAATATATGAAGTATAAATAATGCAACTAGGAGGGTCCTTGTGTCTTAATTTTTTTAATTAAATAGTATAGCCGCCTGGCGATACTCGGTTTTTCTAATCTTTTTAAAGAAATAGTATAGCCACTCGGCTATACACGATTTCCCTTTTTTTTTAAAAGAAATAGTACAACCGCTCGGCTTCTTAAGTTTTTTTAAAAAGAATAGTATGGCCGCGCAGCTATACTCTGGTTTCCCTAATTTTTTTTAAAGTAAACATAAAATACTCATATTGAACATGTACGTAAGTATTTTTCATATTTTATACATATATTTTTTTTACAGAAGTTTCAATAATACACGCAAAATTCGCGTACTATACATATATTATTGAATACAAATAATATATATTAAAATATTATATAGTTGCCGAACTTTAAAGTTGTAATTTGCTAAAATTTTGCCGAATAAAATACATATATATTTTTTTCGTATAGCCGCACGGCTATACCAATTTAATATCTATGAAGTATAAATAATGCAACTAGGAGGGTCCTTTTTTCTTTCTTGTTTTTTTATTAAATAGTTCAGCCGCGAGGCTATACTCTGGTTTTTTCCTAACTTTTAAAAAGAAATAGTATAGCCGCCCAGATATAATCGGATTTCCTAATTTTCTTTAAAAGAAACAGTGTCTATACTAGGTTTTTCCTAATTTAAAAAAAAAAAAAAGAAATAGTATAGCCGTGCAGCCATACTCTGTATTGAACATTTACATAAGTATTTTTCATATTTAGTACACATTTTGGCAAAATTTTCAATAATACACACAAAATTCATATGTTATACATATATTATTGAATACAAATAATATATATTAAAATATTATATAATAACCGAACTTTTAAGTTGTAATTTGCCAAAATTTTACCAAATAAAATACGTAACTATTTTATTCATATAACCGCACGGCTATACCA